GGCAGCATAGTGCTACAGCGTCCTCTGGCGGCGACAGCGGCGTGGAGTATGGAGTGGTATTGCGGCAAGGGGTAACGCTCGGGCGGCGATACCCCCCGTGCCTCGCGCGGTAACCCTTCCTCGCAAGGACCAGAGAGGAGAGAGGGTCCATGCCGCTGAGGCGCTCCTGCTACTCTCCCCCCCCCCCCCTTCCTCGCAAGGCTCGCAAGTTACTGCTGATGATGAGTTTTTGGATTTGATTCCGCTTTCGTCTCATTTTTATCGAGAAAGTACGTGTGGCAGATCGTACGGAAGCGGATCAAGGTGACACCGACCGTCAAAATCCCAATCGAGTAGAGCGTTAACGATTTCTTTCTTTTTGTAAGGTTTTTCGAGTTTCTCATCTCATACCGTAGAGAGGTAGCCGGCATGTTTTGATTTGGCTCGAAACAACAAACAACCTAACCTCATGTCAGAATACTCAATCAACCAGTAGTAGTTCAAATGTTTGCGTTTTAATTGCAAAATCAGTGAACATCCTTGGCACTCAATTATTTCTAGAAGGGAAACGAACGCCTGGCTTACTGTTTCTTGTATCAACTGTCAGTGTTTTATTCTCGATATTTCGTAGACATTTTTATGTGCCAACGGAAACATTTAGTTAATCAATGTGAGTTTAGAATTTCTTCTCAGTGTTGTCAGGTGCTCTGTCAGCTCAAATGTGTGCATTTTCTAAATTTAAGAATGTAGACATGTTGTGTCTACTTAAAAGAAAGTGTACATGGCCTGTCTACATTAAAGAAAGTAGACACTTGAGGCCTAGGTGTGTATCATTTTCAATGTAAACAGGATCATGTCTACTTTCTTCAATGTAGACATGGCCTAGTGTACTTTCTTGAATATAGACATGGCCATGTCATCTAGACAATGTACACATTTGAGTTGATAGAGTGACTTTGCTTTCATTCGGTTGAAAGACACCACTAGTTTTTTAAAATAAATAAAATCTAGTTCTCTCGCTTATGTTTATAATTGACTTTGAATGTGTTTTAGATGGCGCTTGTCTGTGATGTATGCTTGGACCACTTTGACTTAAACTACCATCGACCGAAGGTTCTGCCATGCGGACACACTATATGCTCTACCTGTGTGCTGCATCCTGCCTTAGGGAGGAAGTGTCCAGTGTGCAGAAAGGTCAGTGGCTAAGATGTTTTTCAAATGGAAAATGTTACTGTGTTTTCTTCCAGTTCTCTCTATATCAATCTATATATCATATATCAGGCTCAAACTCTCAAAAGTATACTGTCAGCAAATTAATGGCCAATATGTTTCAGTGAAGTTTCGGAAAGCTTTTAGGGAAAAAATTGGATTTGAACTTACCTATAGTCCACCCTTAGAACCTGACAGACATCTTTGAGTCAACTATTTATTTTTATGCTCAGCCCACTCTTCTGCATTTTTTTATGACTCACAGGGAGCCTTACCCTTTTTAAAAATTAATTATGAGAATTTTAATCAAGCCTTATTTCAAACGGGAACTTTGCATTAGTTGCATTCCAGTAGTCATGGAGCACAATAAAGTTATTACTATTAGTTTTTTCAAGGCATGGATATGGCTTTGAAAAATTTAAAGCTGGATGTACATTTAAATCTTTCAGAAGTAATTTTTTTCTCATATTTTAGTTAGTAGTCTCACTCGTGACCATACATAGCTAAGCGGCTAAGCCATAGAATTGATTTTTTTTTTTTTCAGGACCTGGCGACTGACCCTAACGGCTTCCCGGACAACATCCTAGCCATTCGAATGCTGGAGGATGGGGGCGCCCAACACGACAATGAGGCCGTGGCCACGGATGCAAATCTGCAGCAGCTGCAGCGCGGCGTTGAGGTGGGGAGGAAGGTGGTGCAGCTACTTCGGCAGGTGGTTCCCATGACTGTGGAGTCTCTCAATAACTACGTGGAGTCAACTGTCGCCCAGCTGCGACAGATGGAGGAGGCCCTCGATAGGCTGCAGCTGCAGGTGGCGGCAGGCGAGGAGAGTGCACCTCGAAGGCCCGTGGCCGTCGCAGTGAAGCAGCTGCAGACGGTGGCACACCTGGAGGACAGCCTTCGTATACTGAGCGCCAGTAAAGTCAGCGTCGTTGCAGAGGAAGCGGAGGCAAGCTGGCAAGCCTCTGTGCAGTTGGGGCCCTTTGACTCAATTTGTCGCCTTCTTCTTCTTCAACTTCGGGCCGACGGCCAGTTGCAAAAGGTAAGTTTTCTAGAGTGTTTCTGAATGTGGTTTGTGGTCTCTCGCTCAGCATCCTGCTCATGTGCGCTCTCCCCCGCCACAGGCTGGCGCTGCTGAGCCAGCCACTCCTGCGGCCTACATTGGACCACCAAAAGTCTCCGTCCTCCGCTTCATTGACACAGATTATGACGACGAGGATAATCTGGAGGTGGAAAGCATCCTACGAGATCGCCGGCGATGGAAAAATGCACGCATCCTCGCAAACCTTTACGGTGCCAACGCGGAAGAGCTATTGCAAGCTTTGACGCCACACCTCCACATCGAAGAGCTGGAATACTCAAAAATTGCCGAGCCACGTGTCTTGGAGGAGGTGCAGAAAATCACATCCCTGAAGAAACTTATAGTGTCTTGCGATCGGGGCTTGGGCGACTACCCGGACCTGCCCCTGCATCTAGAAGAGCTTTATATTTCCTCCCCCTCTGAAAGTCAGCTGCGCTGTCTGCAACGCATGCCCAGGCTGCGTACTCTAGAGGTACTCAATTACTTTGGCCCAGCTATATCCTTTCCCCCTTCGCAGCATGGCGGGCTGCTGTGGTTAGGCGTGACGTTTATATCCGATTACAAGGCCACCATGCTGTCCTTAATCCACGCCCATGCCTCGTCGCTGCAGGAGCTCCAAATCTGTTGCTTCCTTATTGAAAGTACAGACACATTTTTCCCTATCCTGGGCCAGAACCTGGCTGAATGTGGCCTGCAGGCCCTTCGGCGACTCATCCTGCATCCTTGTTTACCGGATGATCACACAGATGATGACTGCTTGTTGCGGCGACAAACCATTCGCAGTTTTCTGCCCACTGTGGACGTGCTATGCACCGATTGCCATTCATCTGTTCTCTAGAGTTCAATGGAAGCCCATATTACAAACCTCACTAACGCAAAAGACTGTGAAATGACCTCTAAATCTCGTGAGCTACTATCTTATGGGTGATATGGAATTTATATTTAACAGTTTCGATCATTAAATACTGTTTGTACACGTTTCTCTCTTCACTTTGTCTTAAGGTGAGACTTGGGTGAAATGGCTGCTCTGGAAACGAAAGTGTGTGAATGTCGCTTGTCGTTCACTTGCAGGTGTGTGAATATCCATTTGTACACTTAGGGGGGTAAAGTGCCCGCGTAAGTGTACGAATGGATATTCACACACTTGCGCTTCCAGTGTGAATCAGAAACTGTACTATGTGTTCAGGTCCACTGTGAACATAGGCAAACCCATACGCCCGCGCACATGGGCATGAAATCCCTGGAATATGAATACTTTAAA